CAGCCTTAGTCTATCCACCAATTCGTTCGGATCATCCCAGTGTACGTAATCAATCGCATTGCCGGTAACGGTCATATGCTCTGGTATCGCATTACCGATAACGGTCATATGCTCCGGTAATATATTTGTCAAAGATTGGTGTGCCAAACCTCTCCCGAGTTTAGCATATGGCAGCAACGGTGCAATTATGTACTTATACTTGTGTCCTTTGTTACCCAATATCGGGCTTTCGATGCGATGGTCACGTCTGTGAGCGCTCGTTGCAAGGAGTATGCTTTTATATTTTTGTTTATCAGCCTCGGTGAATACAAGATCATCGGGAATTCATTTAAAGATCAATTCGTACAACCCCGGTGTTCCTTTGTATTTCACGCCGTCAATGATGATATTATCCTCTCCATCGACATCAAACTGTTTGTTTCCAAGCATTAAGCCATTATTATGAACATATACACCATATACATGGTCTATAACATTATTATTGTCTTGTCCTAGAAAAATATTCATATACTCTTGTGCCAATGGACCAAAATGACTACGAAGTGTATCTTGCCCTTCACTCGTCTGCAGCTCCTGTCTGACAGATGCTGAGAAAGATTCCGGAGAAGTTTCGTAAACGACATCATCTCCGAGAATAGTGGGTGTTGTAGGCTGTATCGATGTGTCTGTTAGGATTTCATGAGCCGATGATGTAATAGGAGTAGATGAGTCCACATTCAATCTTTTACGTTTCGGAAGAATTGGTGTTGATGTGTGAATAGAATCGTTTGGCAATTTTCGTTTCAATGGTAATTTTCGTTTCATTGTCAGGTCCGCTTTCTTTATTTTCCTCAGCGTTCCAACACTGTCTTCGATCTCACTTGAGGACGATGGAGCAGCATCTAATTTCTCTTCATCAGCAATATTTTCCACTAAGGTCTTTAGTGGTTGACTAACAGGCTTGAAAAATCGCTCTGCTTGTTCATCTTCTTCTACCCTACCCATCTTCAAAGCGCGATACTTTTTACGAATAGAGTCGCTGGTCCTTGCAATTTCTTGAATTATTCTCTCACGATCTTCACTCTTGTCAATCATTGTGGATATGGTACACAAAATGTTACTGTATCTATTTGTAGTTACCTCGACAACACGTCGACGTGGATTAAACGTTTCATAGAATCGCAAACGTGTTAAATCCTTTTCGATACCGACCGTTCTTTATTGAACTATCCTTGTCTATCACTATGAATCCATACTTGCATTGCCAACATGTATGACAGAGACTGCAGAAATCCTCGTACGACATGTCAGTGTTCACATGATCATTATATATATGTTTTAAATTGGTTCCATCGTGCTTGAACAGAATCAGTAGATTCGCATTGTCACGTATAAGGTGTTTAGGAATTTTCGCATATGTTTGGCAGAAATAGAAACAGTCAACGTATGAGTGTCTGCCCATTGCAAAATATTCGCGTATTGTATCCTGTTTATCGCACGCTACGTCATCAAAGATAAAGATGGAATTCGGGAGCGAATCGCTCGCTGGTATGATGTTACTATTGTTTGAAAATGTATAGTATCCAATTTCATCGATTGGAGCCAATAAATTTTCCAAATATTGATATTTCGGTTGTTGCAATGATTTAGAGTATACATAGACGTTCTCAAAGCGCACACCATGTGGACTTTCAAGCAAGCTTATTAACACATTAGTTTTTCCACAATTTGATGAACCACAAATGATACAACGTATAGTATTCGGTAGTAAACTACTATGTCTATGTAATTGATGTGTCAACAGTGTTTTATTATCAAAATTTTTTATACGTATAGTAACAGGTTGGCGTACGAAATGTATGTTACTTCTCATTGCGAAGACGATACATTTATAGCACGTGCTTACGATGCGCCTTATTTATAAAACGACTACACGAACTACTCTTCAGCATGTATGGAACCACATTCAAGGTGTATCGAACGTCTATCGAACCACGTCCAACGTGTATCGAATGTCTATCGAACCACGTCGAACGTGTATCGAACGTCTATTGAACCACGTCTAACATGTATGGAACGCCTACTGTACCACGCCTAATGTGTATCAAACATCCACTGTACCACTCGCAACATGTATCGACGTCTATTGAACTATAATTAAAAAAGAAATATGGGTGAAGTCGATGCCACAGTTCATTTATACAAGCGTGACCTGTACGTATCAGTCAGTGTAGAAATAGCATTTATACTGATCGATGGTAATACACTGTTCGATTTGACTGCGGAGCAATTAGAATATGTACTAAAGATTGTACTCCTGAATCGATTCGCGACCGACATTCATTACATTTGGAATAAATTACCGCAACACATAAGAGTTGATCCAGAGGTTCAGTCTTATCGCAGATGTCTCATACATTATAATCGTCCAGATCAACGTACACACATAGACGGGCCGCCACCTATGAAGGACTGTTACCTATGCATAACAAAAGGACAGGAGCAGGACTCATAAATACTCTGATAGACAAATTACCGTTCGAGTTACACGTACCAGGATATCAATTCTGCGGACCCGATACGCGCTTAGAAAAACGTTTAGCTCACGGTGATCCAGGTATAAATCCACTGGATACAGCCTGTAGAGAGCACGATATTGCATACTCTCGAAACAAAGATTTGACAAATCGTCACAAGGCAGATCAAGTTTTAACCGATTGTGCACTTCAGCGAATAATTGCGAAGGACGTCACGTTTGGTGAAAGAGCAGCTGCGACAGCTGTGTGGACTGCAATGAAAACTAAGACGAAGCTCGGAATTGGGCTCAAGACGAAGAACAAGAGCTGTAGTAAGAGAAAGAGTAGTAGTAAGAAAAAGAAACGTGTTCTACCGATTGCAAGACGTGGTGGTTTCCTCCCATTCCTCCTACCTGCATTATCAGCTATAGGAGCGTTAACCGGTGGTGCTGCTGGTGTGGCTAAGGCTGTGAATGATGTGAAGGCTACACGAAAACAGTTGGAGGAAGTGCAACGTCATAATCGTGCTATGGAAGGTCGCGGACTTTATCTCGTACCATACAAGAAGGGCTCCGGTTTAGAGAAAAAAAAAATTTGATTCATGAAGAGCTAGGAACACGACCGATGACAAATATTCAACTCGAGAGTATAGGGAGAAAACATATACCATATTTTCGCGGCGTATATATGCGTGATAGACTTCCGGCAAAGATAAAAACAAATGAGAGTGGAATAGTGAATTTGGATCAAAGCAGAGAGAAAAATGCATGGATATAGGAATACAGGGATGGAGCATAAACCCGTACTTTAGACGAGGGAAGTGAAGACATCTCAGCAGTGCAGGGAGGTATAGTCACGTGGTTTGTGGAACGCG